CTTTAATAACTAATGATCCAATCTTGAGATATCCAGACTTTGACCAAAAGATTGAGTTAACTTCTATGCTAATAATTATGCTTTTGGAGCTTTTTTTAGTCAAGAAGAAAGACCCGTTTGTTATGCAAGTCGTACAGTAAATAATCACAAAAAAGTTTACTAGACTATCGAAAAAGAATTATTAGCTATAGTCTGGTACACTAAGTATTTCCGTCATTATCTATTTGGAAGAAAATTTAAAATAGGGTCCGATCATAAACCACTAGTTTGGTTACATAAAATTAAAGAACATAGTGTGACTAATCTACACATTACACATAACACAATAACCTAATGTGTAGTGTGAATTTTTTTTGTTTTCTGTTTTTCAGTCTCTGAAAGGAGCACCATGAAGGAGGTTGGTCTGCGCGCGCTTCGATTGATCTTTGTATGTATGCGTCTCACACATTCACATACACGCTGCAACCGAAAATATTCGCCCAGGAACTTAGGATCCCAGATCCTTCGGGTGACGCTGAACGCGACGTCCAGAACACCATGGCTGCGGTTCTACAGGACTGCCGAGCCAGCAGGAGGTCTAGCCCTGGTGGTCCCCGCAGATAGCCCATGCGCGCAAAGAGAGTCTCCGAACCAGAAAGCTGCATCAAAGAGCCAGAGGAATTCCGGACTTTGAGCAGAAATGAGAGGACTTCACGGTAAAGAAGAAGCCCAATTTTAAGCGTCCGTCGTCGTTAAGCCCAATTTGCCTCATTGACTATGCCGGAAAATCTCTAAGGCGATGCATATGCCGGAGGCTCCAAGAGGCTGTAATCTGCGCGGGAGATCTCTCCCCATTACAATACGGTTTCAGGGAACACCGTTCCACGATCGACGCAATTTCCCTGGTAAGGAGGATCGCAGCCAAGGCAATCGACGGGACCAGATAGGCGGGCGGAAGTAAGGGGTACTGCCTGATCGACCCTCTGGACATCAAGAACTCCTTTAATACAGCCAGGCGGGACATCATAGTGGAGGCGCTGCATAATCTCCGCGTGCCGACTAGCATGGTGGATGGTACCTCAGCGATCGTACTATTAGGTTCGAGACGACCTTAGGCATCCGAGAGCATGCGGCCACCTGCGGTGTCCGTCAAGGCTCAGTCTTAGGCCCAACTCTTTTGAACGTAATGTACGACGGGGTCCTCAGACTAGAGCTCCCGTAACGGACACACCTAGACGGATTCGCGGATGACTTCGTGGTGGTGGTCGTCGGCAAGACAATTCAGGAAGTCAAGGAGTCCTGCAATGCTGCAATTGCAAATTTTATCGGTTGACTCGAACAGGCAGGGCTAAGCATAGCCCACCACAAGACGGAGGCTGTCCTGATCTCAAGCAGGAAGCGGGTGTAGACGGATATGATCAATGTAAGTGGACACGTAGTCACATCAACCAGGGCCATCAGGTACCTGAGAGTAACGCTTGACACGAGGCTTAGCTTCAGGGAGCACTTCGCAGAAGCCAATCGCAAGGCAGAGAATTTCGCCAAAGCAATAAGGAGGATCATGCTCAACTGTAGGGGCCCGAAGGAAGGACGTAGGGATTAGGATTGGAAGGGATTGACCGGCACATACAGACTATGCGTCTTAAGAGTGTGCTTGGGCGTCCGCAAGATTTCGGATGACGCAGCTCTCGCCATCACAAGCATGGTGCCATTCGACCTGCTCACGGCGGAGCGACAAGAACTTGGCCAAAAGTGAGCTCGAGAACAAGGAGCATCCAGAAGTGGCAACGATGATGGGACCACATCGGACGGAGGCATGAGCAGCTTTCCCGCCTCAGAAATGAAGGAGCTGAGACTGCTAAAGAGAAACCGAGCGAAGGCTAGGCTAGCCTAGACAAGCAATAGTAGTTGGCGCTAAGGTACGCCAATCCTGGCCCTGCGAAGCCAAGCCTAGCGGCATTACCGCAGGGGACAGGGACTTAGAAGGCACTTTATTGTTAGAGCTTAGTTTTAATTTTTTTGTTAATAAGCGATTTAAAAGTAGGCATAAACAAACATACTAAACCTGTAAAACGTTCATCGGTGCTGATTGACATACCCATGTAAATTTCTAGTAATTTTTTTCGATGTGAGTCAGAGAACTGAAAAAGTAACTATTTTCTTGATTTAATCATAGGCGAACTTTTTAATTTAACTCATCTCACTGAACAAAACACAGTGATGAGTAAAAATCAACTAATTTTTCCGTACACATCATTTTGATCTATAAAATGAGCATGTGTTGACGAAAGCATAATTGGGATCAATTTGAGTTGATCGTCGATGAATAAACGATTAGCAATAAAACGACACAATGGGAGCGTTACGACTGGATTTACAATAACAATTTTTATGCCAGCTTAAAGCTTGTAATTGTTGCTTTGTTTTGTTTTCGTTCTTTTTCATCTGCGTCAAAAAAGTACCGCTTGCTGCGCGCATGAGTAAAATCATACGTAAAAGGAAAAACAATCATAAAAAAGGATTGTTGAACCGAATGAGTTGTGCCCGAAATCATTATGGTGAACACGAGCCGAAAAATTTTGAGTGAAACAAAAAATTACTCGCACCCGAGTGTATTTAAAATCAACAACGAAAATGTGAGAGCATGCAAGTTTGATCGGCTGATCCGAACAGTGTGATTTGTCGAATGTTGAGCGCATACGATTTTTTTACATTCACCCGAAGCCGTTCTCTGATGCAAGTGTGGAGTAAAAGATCCTATCAAAAACTGTTTTTTTACCGTTTTGCATCGCGCTCACTCCCATGGCTGAAAAACAGTTTCTGTCGATCTGAGTACAAAACTAGTAACAAGCGAAAATTTAAAAATTATAATCTCTAATCCCGTTGGACAGGGTCGTGATATATGCAAATTATATATGTCGTACCGAAGTTTTATAAAAATATATATTTTTATTTAAAGTACTTTTGCAATTGTCGTACAGATAAACTTAGGGCTAATTTACGACTGACCAAGCTTGAGTTAATTGTCTTCCTTGTCGTCTCGGGATTGAAGCTTTCCAAGCTTCCCTAAGAACTTTCCGAAGTTAATTTCGAAGATAATTCCGAAGTTAGAACCCGAATGATTTTGCTGCGATCAGCATGGAAAATTTGGCTAGAAATTGGAATGCCAAAAAGGGGAATCGCGGTGGCATGATTCCAGCGGATGTTTAGTCTAATATTGTTTTGCTGGTGCCGACCGAATAGGGGGAGTTTGTTTATGTTTATGATTGACTCAAGCTTGGCTTGCCGTTTGTGTTGTAGGTGCGAGTGTGGGGATAAATGTGTAAGAGCTCGTGGGAACTCACTGCTCGTGGGAAGTGCAGAAATAATTGTTTATAATATTAATATAGATTAAACTTCTAGTTAATTTGCACTTGTAAGACATGTTTGGGTCTTTTTTGTTGTGATAATATTAAAATCAATGAAACTCTTGCCAAAACAAGTTGATGAACTGGAAAATATGCATCTAATTCAGTGGTCGGCACGGCCCTATCCCGAGGGCATAGGAAATGTCTCTGCCCGAGCTCTGCCACACACACACAGTATAAATGTGTGAAACGTCATGCTCACAGCCTACTTTCTGCTATTCATTACTAATACTAATGCATTAAAATCATATCAATGTATTGGGGTGCCGACCACTGATCTAATTAAATTAGTAGAAATTCTTCTCGTCAGTTCAGATATGTGGGAAAACCCACATATTGATGCCAATCGCCAAAGGCCCCAATTGCACCAATTTGAACAAAAATTATTTTATATTAATATTTGAAATTCAATATTCAAATTCAATTGATTTTGTCGGTATGACCGTAACTAGAAAATATTTATTCTCACTGGAAAGTTTAAACGTATCTAAATAAACGAATCTTCATCTATGTCTCAGTGCGCACTATGTTTTCAGCCTAAGTACCAGGCTTAAGGATTTCGCTGACCGTCATATTAGCTTCGCTCAGTTAGCGTCGAGGTCGGCCGGTGGAATTAGTACCAAGCAATTATCTCACAGATTACCGCCTAAAAATGAATACAATAAACCTAAATTGAGTTGAATAAATTATTTTTTTTTCCTTCTTTGAGCGTATTTTACACTCTTTGAATAGCTTAAAAATGGGTTTAAAAACTTTCCCGAAATTGGGCCAACCTGGCCTTGGAATTTAAAACAACATTTTTTAATTCAATTATTGCTATAATTGATATACTTGATAACACAGTGCGACAAAAAAAGAAAAATTGGAGGAACTTTTTAAGAGACCTAGTAGGAATTGTTCATTAGGTCGAGTATAGTATAAAACCATGTTTGAAATTTTTCAAACACCCTCAAAATCTTGATTTATTTGGAAAAAACGGTTTTTCGGGACTTTTTTGCTCCTAAAAATTCCTAAACGCGTAATTTTAAACCGATTTTAAAATTTTTTTCGTTTTTCAATAGTTAAATGTTATAGCTTTTGAAAAAAAAATAGATCTTTAATTTATTTCAACAAAAAAGATACAATTTTTACGCAGGAAACTTTTTTGAATTTTTGTCGTGTTTTTCGGACTTTGACGCCATTTTTTCGGTACAACTTCCAAGAAATGGTATCATTTTCGATACATGTCAATATTGTCTCGTTAATTCTGAATAAATCGAGACCAGTTACATTAAGAAATTATGAAAATTGTTGAAGTTTCCCAAAACAAGTCAGTACAATTGTACTAGCGCTCCGGAGTAAAAGTGTGTAAAAGAAAGGAATAAGCGAAATGGAAGGGCGCATTAAGAAATTATGAAAAATGGTGAAGCTATAACAATTTTCCCAAAACAAGTCAGTCCAATCTTGCTAGCGTTCCGGAGTAATGGTGTGCCGTTCCATTTCCATTATTCCTTTTTTTTACACACTTTTAAATTATTGTGTAATTTGTTGATAAAATTGATAAAATTTGTTGCTTTGTTCCTATTGCATCGTTCCACTGCGACGCAATTTTGACGAACAAAGGATTTCGTTATTTTCTTATGTTGGTCTCACTCATCACGGGGCCATATTTTTCTATACATTCTAAATCACAATATAGAACCGTTTTGTGTATGTTTATTAAATATATTGATATAATGAATTGTTCTAAATAATATATACTTTTTTTGGAAATGCAAAAAAAATTTAAGTGCAAAATTAGAAAATTCCAAGGAGTCACTAATATTAAATTTCCAAATGGAGAAACAAAAAAACACTGTTCACGTTTCAAAGTTGTTTATTTGTACAGCTGTCGACTGTAAAGATGATATTGAGGAGGTAAAAAAGCATTTTGTTAAAGATTCTTTTTATTTAATAGTTTTTTTTTTTCAGAAATTTGAACGTTCCTATTGCCATTTGCAGCAGCAAGTTGGAGGACTTAGTGATAAGGACATGCACGACTTATTATCCCAACTCGTATGCAAAGATAAACAACACGAAGAGATTTCGATCGGATTTTTGTACATCATTTTAACCGATCCGGCTATGGCACCTAAAACCTATCGGGACGTAACTCTCGTTTCTAGGGACGGAATGAATGTGATTGTTGCTAATCTTACCTTATTGGTGGCTGAGAAGTATGCCAAGCTAACAGAAATAGCTCGCAGGCAATTAATTTGGGTGCTGCGCGAGTTTGTCAAGCATCAAGTTCTCAGTGTCGAAAACGTAATCTGGAATTGTTTGCGTCAAGCAGGTGGCGGTGACGCTTCTCACAAAAATTTATTTCTCATTGAAAGCCTTTTGGATATATTCATCGAGTACAGAACTTGGCTAGAAGGAAACCCATTTCTGGTTCAATCTGCTGTTTACAGCTATGTACGCCTTATTGAAGACCACGCTAATCCTGCTCTTATGGCTCTTCGTCAAAAAGAAGTGAAGTTTACTATATCACTTATTCGGGATCGATTTCAAGACATAATACCTTTAGGAAGAGATTTTGTGCGGTAAATTACTTTTTCATTTTAAAAAGGGGAAATATTGAAAAAAGTAAAAAACGAATATAAGATATTTGGCATTTGCGTTTTATAGGAAGGGCTGTAGACCAGTTTCACAATATTATACCCGGTACTCATAAGAGACCTGCATTGAGTATGATCGAGTCGGTTCGATCAGCCTCGCTCAAACCCGTCACAACTCAAAAAATTGTTCGCTACAAAATTGTTCAATCGATCTTCGTGCACAAAACAAACAGTTCGAAAAATGGATTTGATTGCTCTGCTTACTGATTCAAACTGATTGTTGCATACCGGTTTGATGATAGAAAATGTATGTACAGAAAAAGACGATCGAGCCCAACGATGCAAACGTAAGCTCAGACATCGATCAAGTTGCGTTTGATTTGATTGTAAGTAAAGCAATCAAATCGAGAATTGCCCTGTGAATATGTGAATGTGTTTAGTTTGTATGTACAAATTTGTATGTTGTAACGGAAAAAAGTTGCGATGCGTAAAATTAACTAAAAAATCACTTCATTTATTTCTTCAGTTTTAACGCTTAAAATTAAAATTCAATTATTGCTGATGATGAAATAAGTAGATCGGGTTGAATCGAACCACCCGGTATGACCAAACGGTATGAGCGTGATCGATCTGAATGCAAGCAGCGTTCTCAATCATTCAAAGCGTTCGATCAAAGAAAATCATTATGAACCAGGCACGAGTGATTGGAACTGAATGTTCGATTTGAACACGCTTGCTTACGATCAATTCATGTTCGTTGAAGCAAAGTTTTGCGTCAAAAAAAATCCGAGTCAATGATCGGGTATGATTAAAAAAATTGTGATCGTTGCAGCTCTCTGGTACTCATCCCTTCCACTCCACATTACCTTTAAAATTTTAAAGATCAAAATTATACTCTAAACAAAAACATTTTTGTTGGATATTTTTGTGCTTGGGGAATAACTTTCAGTAGGAAAGCAGAATAAAAAAGTATAAAAATTGATCGATTTAAATTTTAAATTATAGGTTTATATTAGCCCTAAGAATAGTATAGCATTAAAATATTTTCCAAAAGTTTGTTTGAACTGGCGCTACAACAATAATTCAGCTTAGGGGGCGGGAGTTGGCGTGGAAAAATTTTGACACAAACTTAATTTGCGCGGTACCAGAATTTGATACCATAGGAGTCCAAGTGCCAAATCGGATAGTTCTAATAATTATAGCCATATAGGCATAAAAATATGCTATTTATGCTGACGATGCTGCGCTTCTATTATAAGAGTCTTTAATAGAAGCTCTATCTCTTAAAGTCTTATATCGACGCGTTTATACAGACGGACAGGCTATATCGACTCGGCTGTTGATGCTGATAAAGAATATATATAAATTCTTAATGGAGTCTGAGATTATTCCTTCTAAATGTTACATACATTCACGCGAATTCAATATACCCTTGAACTCTACGAGTAACCGGGTCTCAATTTCATCCGACTTTTCTCGTTTTCCCCGAATCCCAGAGATCATTGAAAATCCCCAAGTGTCTGACATTTCTATTGGTTTAGTTTTTTTTTTCACCAATATTCCTTTAAATCCCTTTAAATATCATTCTGAACCTGAACTTTTCTTCCTGACATTTCTATTGGTTTAGTTTTTTTTTTCACCAATATTCTTTTAAATCCCTTTAAATATCATTCTGAACCTGAACTTTTCTTCCTGAGGGTTATTTTACTTTCCAGCTTTTTTCAAATTACATATTAAGAGAAATTGGTCTGATTCTAAAACCCGTTTTGGAATACATGCGTATCTAACAGAAAAAACAGTAACAGTCGTTTAAGGGGATCCCCCCCATTCTCGGTTTCAAAGAATCGATTTTTTTTTTATTTTCTATGGATTTTGTTTTTTTTTTTTGTCAATTGATCCGTCTTAGAAAATTTCAGAGGGATCGGCTGAGTATATCCTATAACTTAAGGATCGGAAATGACCCAACATTTGTGTTTTTAAGGAAAGAATGTTGGGACTTTTACAGATTCTATTTGGCAACTGATCTACCTAATTTCATAAGGATCGATCACCTATATCCAATATTTCCAATATATATTAAATTTTAACTTCAAGGGTATGTCAACTTCGGCTTTGCTCGAAGCTAGCTGTTCTTTCTTGTTTTCTTACATCTCTATTATCCATATGATGATTTTGCCAGCAAGCACTACTCAATTGCAATGTAATGCCATTTTGGAATTATTTGTGTAAATATGTATAATGTACTTTTCCATCCGTAATTATTCCTCCAATTTTGTTAATTATTTTTTATTATTGTTTAAAAAGTCTCTTACAGAACGTAGCCCGCATTCCAGAATTTGAACAACTATGGCGCGATATTCTTTATAATCCAAAAACCTTACACCCAACTTTTAATGGTATTTGGCACTTATTACAAATCCGAACGAGTCGAAGATTTTTGCAATGTCGCCTTTTGCCAGAGATGGAACGTAAAATAAGCTTTTTGGCCTCATCTGTGAAGTTTGGAAATCAAAAAAGATACCAGGATTGGTTTCAGGAAAAATATTTCGCAACACCTGAGTCTCATAGCTTACGCTCAGATCTAATAAGGTTTATTATAAATGTAATCCATCCAACTAACGATATGTTATGTTCCGATATTATTCCTCGTTGGGCAATTATTGGCTGGCTCATCTCGTCATGCACAAACCCGATAGCTTCTGCCAATGCTAAGTTATCATTATTTTATGATTGGCTGTTTTTTGATCCCACCAAAGATAACATTATGAACATAGAACCCGGAATTCTTGTAATGTATCACTCCATCAGAAATCATCCATTTGTCAGCAGCACGCTTTTGGATTTTCTTTGTCGCATTACCAAAAATTTTTATGTTAATTATGAAGACAAAATACGGATGGGCGTGTACAATTCCTTAAAACTTATCCTTGACAAACAGGTATATGATATAAATTTAAGGTATCCAAATATTAACAATTTTTTTTTCAGGTTATACCAAACTTGCAACCTCTTTTTGAATCACCAAAACTCGACAGAGAACTACGTAACTTAATAAGAGAAAACTTTCGGGAATTTATGTCACCCAGTACAAATATAAGTCAAACAATTTATTCATCTCCCACATCAATTCCCTCATCCGTTTGTAAAAAAGAGTCTGAACAGAGAATATTTCATGGTTTGTTATATTATTCGTTTACACTATATGTAATTTACAAATTATTTCTTGACAGAATACATAGATTTAGTTGGATCAGGTTTATCTCATAGCGGTTCTTCGATTTCTACAGTAGATCAGGAAAACAATGAACCCATGTTACCGGGTCAAGAAAATGAAAGTGTCTTCAGTGATTCTGACATCGATAATCTAAGGGTCATGAATAAAAATGAAGAAAATACAGATGACGATGATGATTTACCACTCTCAAAGGTATATAATAAGATAATAGTTCAACTGAAACTAGATTTCATTTTGCAGGTTCGATTAAAAGAAAAGCCAAAAGTTGAGTTGTCTGAAGCAATAGCTGAATCATTTGAAGCATTTCTTACGAAGCGAAACTCATTTACGTGGGAGGAATTTCTTAAAGATTTTCGCTCTTTACCAGCGTCTGCATTTGAGGATTTTCAGCTAACGTATGTCTTATCGAATTCGCTAATAATTCTGCGCGAAACTCTTCCACAGCATAATATGTTCTCTGAAAGTAAAACCGACGAAAAGTATTTAGCTAAGAGTATAAGCTATCCTCTTTATGGGTTATTTCGCTTCCTTTATGAGAATGATGAGAAAAGCAAAAAGCCATTTCAAACTTTAATGTCGGAAATATGCGAAAATATTCCCGAAACCGGATACTTGCTTTTATACTTTATGAAAATATATTGTAAGCTTCAAACACGAAAAAATTCTCAACAATCCTATCAATTTAAATCAACAATTTACCGACAAATATGCGATGCAACAGATGAAAAAATTTGTAATTGTTTAATTCGAGACCTAGATTTACTCGAAAAGGAAAATACAAATATATACTTGTGGCTCCTTCCAGATATATATAGAGAATTTAAGTCTATAGCTATTAATAACACTGATCTGTTAAGAATAACTTTAAGATGCATAGATGCCAAAAATTTGCGGGATATAATATATTCAGTGGCTCAAGGCAAACTTACATTATTCAAACACGACGGGCTTATTGATTGTATTAGAGAAAGTTTTGAGTTTGAAACATATGAACAATTTTGTTTATGGAAACTTATTCAAGCACATGATGTTCCTCTTAAATGTATCCAGGTAAGCATATTTAAAATATAATAAATATTTTTTATCTCCCATTTTTATTACTACAGGATTTATTGCCTGAGTTAGAATCTGCAAATCACCCAGAAGCACTAAGCAATTTTCTATTACTTTTAAAAAATGAAGAACCAACCATTGAATTAATACGACTCATTCTAAGCAGAGACCCAAAATCTAAAGGCGATCCATTTGTTACCTCTGCCTTAAGGTGAAAACTTTAATTTTAAATTTTTTTTAAGACTAAATTTATTTTGTTTGAAAGATTTTGGTGCCAACAATATGAAGAAAAGCTTTCTGAAATTATTGCTTCACTGCTAACATCAAAATATCCTAATTCTTCTCCGAACAAGAGGAAAAGACCATCTAAAAGTAGCTTGACTACGAATAACACCCCTTCTGCTGACCAAGTGAGTTTTTTAAAAAGGTTTATATGTAATAATGTTATTATAATAATAATTAATAATTTTTAATTGTTATATATTTATATAAGATTCTTATTTATATATAAGAATTCAAATAATTCAGCAATATTATAATGTTTTTTTCTTAACTATTTTAAATAGGTATTAAACCATCTAGAATATTTTAGAAGAAGCTGTAGGCACGGAACAGGCACAGGACTTTATGTTCACGATATGATGCAACGTGCATTGCAGTTAGCTTATTCCCACAGTAATGAAAGCACAAAGGTAAATATTGCACAAATTACACCAGTCAACAGCAAATGATCAGTTTTTAGAACACACCTAAATTCACTTTCTACATCTGAGTAACAAAAAAAACATAAAATTATTTTTTATGAGCGTTTATTTGATTAATAAATGATCATTATAAAGGTAATTAAGATGATATAAAAAAGGTTAATTTAATTGAAATATTTTATATTCTTAATTGTAGTTAGATAATAGTTAAAACGTAGTTAGGATACCTAACTTAATCATTATCAAGAAAGAAAAAACTAACTTTGGGCAGAGTCAATTGAAACTTTCGAATATAATTTTTCGATCCTTATAGAAATTTCGCTATTTATTAAATTATAGTATAGTAAAAAAGTATATAGTCAAAACCTAGTCGCTCAGTTTGTGGCAGTAAATACCGAGACTTCCAAAATATCTTTAGCAAAAGTTTTGCTGCAAAACGATGTTAATATCATAAAAACTTCAAAATTAATATTAATAGCAAGGAACTATTAATATTAAAAATGATTTAAAAATTGAATTTCTTTGAATCGTTTTTATACCCTTGCAGAGGGTATTATAATTTTGGTTAAAAGTGTGCAACGCAGTGAAGGAGACATCTCCGACCCTATAAAGTATATATTTACATGAGTCGTTCTTTGCCCGAATAAAAAAATCAGATTTATTTTATATCCGTTGGTTATTCTTTATTAGAGCGTTGGAAAAAGACTAATTGTATGTTACAGAATTGGTTAGAATGAAACCTCGGTTTGCGTCTTAGAATTTACTGTTAGTGCATTAGGTGACGCAATAGCAAGTGGATGATGCGATCGCCACTTCTTTGTTTATGTTTACATAATTCGGTCTTATTAGATTTTGCGATCTTATTGGATTTTTACGTTTATGGAACTGTGTCATTGTTGACGTTCGGACTTAATCAATTTTCTTCGTTTGTTTGCATTGCGGGATCTCGAGCTTCTGTATCGTTTTTAATAAAAGCCGAAATTGGTGATTCTGTTTATTTGTGAACGGTTTCGTTCTTTGAACTGGTGGCCGTTGGCAAATCGCAGTGCAGACACGTCACTCCCTCATCACTTAGACAAAATCGTATGGTTATTTATGTGATTTTGGGGTATAGTTTTGGTATTTCTTGTAACTCTTGTGAGTCTATTGTTGGGTCGTCACCTTTTGTGTTATTGTATTTTATAAGTATTCTTTTAGGTATTTCCTTAAATTTATAAAGTAGGTACAGTGATATACTTAATATTAAGAGGCCCAGTGTTACAATTACAATTATTTTGTAAATCTGGTTTTCTTTATTTTGTTCAAAAAATATTTCTTTTGCTTCTTGTATGTATGATATTGGGTCTAATTTGGTGACATTATTTCTTGTGTATAAGTTAATAATAAATTATTTGTGTGTGGGTTTTACAAATAATATTTATTGATCATTTGTTTCGCACAAGCCCGTTAGGGTTAGTGTTACTGACAAAGATAAAATATATCGCGAGCTAAGGCTGCGGAGTTCTACTTAAGACTGAACTAAAATACTACCCGGGCTGTACTCCGAAGCCTTCGTTGGGCTGCGGCGCAGTTGCCTAATTGCAGTGTCAGCATTCCGTATCCGGCCAGCAACGATTACATGTTGCGCAAGTGCCCGAGCCGGTCCGCGGACAGTTGCCCTTGGAATGCGTAGTCAGCACCTCTTTCGTTACGCGTGCGGGCCACCGGATCCGGTGTGCAATTTGGCACTTTTCCTAAATTCTGTTTGCGCGTGTTAACTTATACGCTTTGTGTGTAGTCAGAATTATAATTACTAATGGATAAATCGTTAATTGCAATTGAGCAATTGTGTATTTTGATCATATTGTTTCCATCAATTACAATTTCATTCTAAATACAATTCTGATTTAGTATAGTTTTTGACAAATTCCATGTAACTATGATATTTGGTTCGACATAATTAATTTGGGTAGTTAAGAGCGATTTTGTGTACCTGCAACTGGTATCTGTTTTATTAATGAGTCCTTATAGACATGTGTAGGTAACAGGTTTTTTTGTTTCTTTGTTATAAAAAACTATTTCTGTATACGTAATATTTGTTTTGGGTGTTATCTTGTAATATTTTATTATTTTCATCTGGATAAGGTAATATTTCGTATACGGGAAGGTTTTTTATTTCTCTGGGTATGTGGGATATGATTAAAATTTCGTTTGAATCTGACCTAAGCCAAGTTGAGGTTTTTATGTTCAGAAGTATCTCAGAATTAATGTTTGTCAAGTAGTCGTGTTTTAATAACTTTGGATTAAATATTCCTAATCTTGCTAACTGCATTCCCATTTCCAGGTTTTCAATGTATTCTGCGAAATGTTCTAAATTAAAAATCAATAATTCAAGCATTTTTTCGTTTTCGTTGTATTCGAGTTGCTTGTTTATTATATCAATGCCTTTGTTAACTGTTAACTGTATCGATTATATTATTTAGTTCGTTTACTTGTACACTGTTTTGAGCGATTACATTGATTTTTTCTTCTAATTCTTCTTTATCATTATTATCTATTTGTAATTGATATTTGTAAGCTGTTCCTACAAAATTAGCTAATCCTCTTTTGTTTCTCCTAACAATTTTTAACCCATTCATTTCTCTTTGTAGTTTTTCAATTAAATATTTAATCTTTATTATTTCCTTAAGGGGTTATATACAGTTGTACCGCGCAAAAATATGGATTTTTATCGATTTTTTTTTGACACCATAGAAAATATTTATGAAAAATGTTTTACGTTGTTTAGTACATGTTTCTGGGTACTTAATTAAATTTTTTCATAAAAAAATATTAAATAATAAAAATGTTATAGCCGAATTCCAAGAACGTCTTTTTTTGATGGTGTCTTGCGGTGGACATTAGAGGTCTGCATGAATACAGTCAAAGCAGCATTTGGCACTCTCACTCAAAGTTCTGACTGACTGAGTGAGACATTGAGTAAAACGGATTTGGCAAATGTGGTAAAGGCATGAGTAAAAAATTTACTCTATCCGAACGGCGACGCAATAACCAAATGAGTTTTGTAACCGAGTACTCGGTTAGTTGTGCGTCGCATTTGTGACGTCAAATTTATTTTTTGTTTTTGAATGCAAAAACATAATTTTTTTTATTGTATCTGCATTGTTAGCAATAATACATCGCTTTTCAGAAATTAAATTTCTAGCATCTGAAAAGGCTCTTTACAGGTAGCTGCTTGCTACCTGCTTGCGGAGCTGCTTGCAGGTATACAAAAAATTGTGCAACTAGTTTTAGCTTCTGCTCTAACTGCAATGAATGACGAGAATGCCAAAATTTTATCCGAGTACTCGAAGCATTTACTCTGCATTCACTCATTCTATCCATTCCACATTGGTTTGAATTTCACTCATTTCGCATACAAAGAAAACAACCCTTACCAATCCTTACCTGTTTCTGGAGTTGGTTTTAATAAAAGCGATGTTTTTCTATGTTCGGTTTTTGTTTGGTTACAGACATTACACTCATTAATTAAATTCTGAATTAAATTCTGGTAGTCGGGATAATAATAGGTTTCTTTGAAAAGCCATACCATTTTTTCAATTCCTGGGTGCAATAGTTTTTCGTGGTTGCTAAAAATAATTTCTTTAAATTCAGCGTAAGTTTTTATGTCCTGTAATTTAATTACTGCTTTTACAATTTTTGTAGTAGTGTTCATAACCTTTTTAAAAGCTTCTTGAATAATTTTAAAATCAGAGTCGTGTTCGATGTAAAGTGCACTTGACTTGCTACAAAAGTGTTTTATTAATATTTGCTTAGCTTTTTCGATGTTTAATTCATTAAACATTATTTTAATCTTGACTTTCTTAAAATAATTATCACTTTCTTCACCTTCTTTATCGCTTCGAATCATTTCTACCTGTCTTGCGAAATGATTGAATGGTTTTTCAGTAATTGTTATTAAATTTTCATTATCTTCTTCAGCGCTGTGTGCTGTTGCTTTGTTACTGCCATAGTATACTTCGTTGATTTTGATTCTTGACAATGCATCGGCTACGTGATTTTGCTTTCCTTCTAAATATTTTATTTCGAATTCATATTCTCCTAACCTTATCTTCCATCTTTGCAATTTCATATTAGGTTCTTTGATATTGTTTAGCCAGACTAACGGCTTATGGTCACCTAATATCTAAAATCTTCTTCCGAATAAATAGGGTCTTAAGGCTTTTGTTGCCCATACTATAGCTAATAATTCTTTTTCAATTGCACTGTAGTTTTCTTCATGGTCGTTTGCACCTAATGCAAAGTTGCTAGCATCAGTAGTTAATTGAAACCTTTTTCCAAAATCTGGACAAATCAGTATGGGATCGTTTATGATAAGTTGTTTTAATTTATTGAATGCTGCAATAAATGTATCATCTTTGAATGTCACTTTAGAACCAGCTATTAAACATTTAGTTAAAGGTTTTGAAATGTCTGCGAAATTTGGAATGAATTTTCTGTAATAACCGCAAAGACCAAGAAATGATTTTATTTCTTTTTGAGTTTTCGGGAATTGGAAATTTATTGATTGCCTTAACCTTTTCAGGATTTGGCATTACGCCATTTGGTCCAACTATGTGTCCCAAAAATTCTTTTTTCAAAAATTAACATTTGTCTAGATGTATTTTTAGATTAGCGTTTTTAAGTTTTTCAAAACAATTTTCAATGAAGTTAGGTGTTCGTCAAGGGACGTAGAGAAAACAATTATATCGTCCAAGTATACAAGGCAATGCTTTTTTATTAATTCACGAAGGACATTGTTCATGCATCGCTGAAAAGTTGCAGGTGCATTTTTTAATCCAAATGGCATTCGCGTGTACTCGTAGTGTCCGTACTTTGTGGAAAACTCTGTTTTGTTTATGGAATTTCGGTCTATTTCGATCTGGTGGAAACCTTTAACCAAATCAATGGTGGTAAAATATTGACACCGTCCTAGCTTGCCTAGTATTTCGTCCATATTGGGAATGGGA